CTGCTGTGATTCATAAGGAACCTAGATTTTTTTAATCTGCATTTTAAAATGCCACACAATGGCAGCTGCACTTGTTTCAAGCTTGGAAATAACTAGGAAAAATAGTTTTAAAACAATTTCAGTTCCCTTTTGTATTGAGATCCCTCTGTGAGGGAGCAAATGAGCATTTATTGAACTGGGTAACAATAAATTGGTTGAGCATGAGCTTGTGTGCTGCACTGCGGGCTCCGGAAAACGCTGATCTGTGCTTTTAATGCCAAGCCACTGTGGCTGACTTAAGGTTTGTGTGGGACAGGAGTATGGAAGCAACTTTCCTACTGACCTTACCGTTTAGTAGCACATCTGAAAGCATCAAGGATTTGTTGAATGCTGCCTGTTAAGACAGGAGGGTGGTAAAGTGCCTCATCACACCTCTTAACCTGCATTGTCTTGGTCTGAGTGCTCATTGCACTCATGTGTCAAACAAAGCAAATGCTTTGCTTAGGTGATTACATGAAGCTGAAGGACACCAGTTCCTTTCTTGTAATGTAGGACTTCTCTTAGCTGCTGGCTGTCTGACATTATGTTGTGTGATAATGCTGCCACTTCAGGCAAAATAGCACAGAATTGGAGGTCCTTCTTGAATTTATATACAGATATTTCAGTGTAGGCTTTAGAGATGTGCTTTAAACAGACTCAGGAACACCTCAGGCTAGGAAGGGTGGAAATGGCAGATTTGGTCACCATTATTGATTTCCTCCTATAGACAAAAGAACTGATCAGCACTATGAAGGTAAATGGAAGAACCACTGCATCTGCTTTCACTTCAGACAGCAGTAAAATATATAGCTATTCCAGTAAGTGCTCTGTTTAATAGTACTAATTGTAATTCCATTGAAATTGCTTAAGTTTTTGTAAATCAGTCAGTGTTGTACAAAGTTAGACCTCGTCTGACCTAGAAATCCTAGCAGGTGATCCATCATTACCGATAAACTGTTCCAGTGTGCTCTTCTTTTTTTAAAAACAGACAAAACCTCCTTATTTGATAGCTGTATATAAGTTTACAGCTGTCTTTCTGAAATGTATTTTAACAATTCTGACAGATCAATGTATGTTTTGTGTGCAGAATTCTGTAATCTTCTCTTTCATTCTGCAAACAGAGGAAGGTGAAGTTTTCATTTGGGATGTGAGAAGCAGGAAGTGCCTACACAAATTTGAAGATGAGGGCTCTTTGGAAGGAAAGTGTATTGCTGTTTCAAGAAATAACCAGTATGTGGCGTGTGGGTAAGTGAACAACTTGGGTGTTATACTTTCTTCCTGTCTCATTTTGAAGCTCTTCAGAATTTGTGTTTGGTAAGAGTGGAGTAGGAAGATAGAATGAGTTTGGTTTTAATAAAGTTATAATAGAACTGAATAGGTGAATGTTGCTGTTTCTATGACAATCATGTATTTTGTTCCATGTACATGTCAGTTACCATACATGCTGAATACTGGTATTGCTCTTAATATGTTACTGTTGGCATGCAGTGATTTTAGCAGTTAATTTTGAAATTATGCAGCCGAAATCACACAGAGTGAACTTCTGTAGTAAAGTGTCATTTTGGGGCCTCATTTCTTCCACCTTTCTAGTTTACTCTCTTCTGTGCTCTTAATTTGATTGCTGTGAGAGCGCACGTTAGCATTTGTAAAGATGTTTTGACTCCAACAGTTGCAGCAACAGAGCCTCAATACTTCTTGAAAGTATTTCTGAATTAATGGTTGCTGGCAGCTAGTGTGTCAGTTCTTGCAACTACCTGATGTTTAAGTACAGTATGCATTTCCTTAGGAAAAACTTCGAGAACCTTAAATGACTTCAGACCCTGATACTGAGCTCTCTCTGGTTTGAATTTGTTGTACGTAAGAGATTGGTGTACCAGGGATCACCAACTAAGAGTCTGTTCCTCAGCCCACCCATCAAACCTCTCTATTAAATCCTGATACAAACTCTGAAGCAAAACACAATCTTCAAAATATTGTTACAAACAGCACTAAGCAATTACTTGCTGATCTTTAAGTTGACTACTGGCTAAGATAACAAGCTAACGTGTACCATAAACGCTGTTTCTCAATATGGATTTTGTTAATTTCTCATTGTAGTTCAGTTTCTGGAGTTGTGAACTTGTATAGTACTGATGTTTGTCTCAAGGAAAATCGTCCTAAACCAGTTAAAGCCATAATGAACCTCGTTACCTCTGCTACGTCCGTGACCTTCAATCCTACCACAGAAATCTTGGCTGTGGCTTCCAATGAAGCTGATGAAGCTGTCAAATTGGTATGGTCAGCTTCTTTTCTCAGTGTAACACTGTGTCTTCTTTTAAAAAATGGAGTGCAATCCTGCTGACGTGGTCAAACTGATTCCGAGTGGGTGCATGCACTACAGAATTTGCTTGATTGGAATGTGTATGGGCTGCTGTACCTACATCAGAAAATGGTTTTTTCCTTGGAGAAAGTTCTTAAGATAACCTTGTAGTCTAACTTGATTCTTTTTTTTTCTCCTCTTTTTTAAAATGTTCTTGTTTTGTTGCTGCAAATACAATAACTTAGCAACAATTCTTAATTTTCAGCATCTGTTAACTGTAACAGTCTTTCTGGGTGGTGACTTTTCCTTGCTAAGAAATTTTGCCAGCCTTGACAAAATTCTGGGTATTTCCTACTTGATGTGACTAACTATATCTTTCTTAATAGGTACACATTCCATCATATACTGTATTCTCAAACTTCCCAGTATTTAGAAGAAAGCAAATTTATCTTACTCAATCTATGGACTTTTCTCCTAGAAGTGGATTTTTCTCTATAGCAAACAACAAAGGCAAAGCTTTGTTGTATAGGTACGTACTAAGTTTGGTTGCTTAATCCCAGGTAACATTTATATTCAGTAAGATGATGCAGATGACTGTAAATGGTGAAATTTGACCACTTGATCTGATCTTTACTCAATGAGTTAACAGCGTGGCACTGAGTTCCCACTCTGGAGAATGAACCTAGTTGTTTTTTCTGATTACTGACTATGCATTACTGCAGACATGCCTGTGAAAAGTGTTATTGTTCCTTGCTGAATAGAAGTAGGAAGGAAATAGCAGATAATGGATGGTTTTTGCCGTTTTGTTTTCTTTTTGAGCTTTTACTACAACTGTGTTTCAGATTAGGAGTGGTAGTAGGTTATTGGAAGATACTCGGTGCTACTAAATATTTATTGTTTGTTGTATTATGTTTACAGCAGGTTATTGAGAGGCTTTATATCTGTCTCAACTATGTTCTTTCTTCAGGTTGAAACATTATTCAGATTTCTAGAAGATACAGGAGACAATGGACTAGCATCTCAGGTAAAAGTAGCACTCAAGCTGTTGACAGGATTGTCTTGGCATTTCTTCTTTTTGTTCAGCTACCTCCACCTCATCAAAGGTGGCAACGAGAAGTTCTCAGTGTGTAAAAGTGAAGTGGTATTGTCTGGGTTGTTAACAGAAAATGTCCATTACAAGGGACAGGCTTGTTTGTTAGCTCAGCTTTTCTAATAATGCCCTTAAGGGTGGTTGGTAATTCAACCAAATGTGCCCAGTCCTGTTGACAGCTGTTTTAAAAACTTGTAAGCATTAAAAACAAACTCCTGAGCAGTGATGGTAAAAACAGCTGTAAGCTGCCCTAAATTGGCCCTGTTGTGTGGACACACTTACATGAGTTCACAGGTCTGTGTGATTGAAAATGTAGGTTACATAAACAAGTGAAATTTCAAGTGCAGCTTGTGAGGATTTTTGCCTTTTCATGGGAAACTGGAATGTCCTGTGGCCTTGTCAGAAACACAGTAGTGCTGCTTGACCTAAAATCTGTTAAAGGTCGGAAGCTCAGCCCATTCAAACTGAAAGCTGGTTCATCTTCTGTGCATTAAGCTTATGTAAACTGTTGTGCTAGGTAAATGTTCTGAGCATGCTAACAACATTCTCTGTGCTGATCCTTCCCCAGGTGCTGTAACCTGCAACTACAAGTATGCTGCCAAAATCAAGCAAACTACTTGCAATGGAAGTTGAATATTAATATAACATCTGTGATTTGTGAATGTTTTTTCTTAATAAATGTACCTGATAAATTTCCAGGCAAGTTCTTTCAGCTTTTTTCCCATGCTTTGTGTAAGCAAATGACTAAACAGAATTTTGATGGTTGGTAATGAAGTTAATGTCTTCAAGAAACGCTTAAATGCTCTTTAGTTATTATGAGAACACGATGTGTTCCAGTATTGATACTAAAAAATCAGTTTTGTTTAAACTCTCAGCTCTCCTCTGTGTATGGGATGTTTCTGGCTGGAAGCATTGTTTTACTGATGAGAGGAGCAAAAAGGTAACGTGAAACCTTGTCAGCACAGGTTTTGTATTCCAGCTTGTGGGCCAAGATAGCTGAAGCTGATGATGGAGCAACACCACCATCGTTTGTGCTTAATGTCTCATGTATTAAAGCCAGCTGTTTAAGCCATGGTTTTAATTCCTCAGGGAGGACCCCATTCTTTCTGTGAAAGCTAAGCAGAGTATTGCTCATGGTTGATTTTTTTTTTTTTTTTAATAATTGTGAAATCCTGATCTCATTAGGGCCATGTAGTAAGGACTGCTGTGAAGCTACAAGTATTGGTTCCTTCTGATGTCAAAGATGCCTCTGATGACACTTTTTCTTGAATTTGACACTTCTTATAAGATAAATTGCTAGGAATAGCTAGTGAAATTTCAAATTTGAGAATAAATTGTGACTAGTACATCAGTGTCCATGGGAGGGGAGCTTTTTGAGTGGAGTGACGTAGAGAGCAAGGTGTTGCACTGTTGTGGAAGTGCTAACTCAAGGCCTGAAGCAGTGATGGAGCAGCTGGTGGGAAGGTGGGGCCAACCCAGGGGAGCTCAGGTGCATGCAATGAATCTGATTGACCAGAAGGGCTGGAGCCAGGATCCACCCCTTCCCAGCCCTATTTAAGGGCTGGCAGTGGAGGTGAGGGTATCTTGTTGGAGATCCCTGTGTGAGGCTTTTTGAAGGTAAGCAGCTGCTATTCTTTATGTTATTGAATATGACTGTTGTGTTTGGGCAAATCTTTATTGCTGTAGCCTGGGACCTTGCTACTTTGCTGTTATTGCTGTGCTTTCTGTTACGTTGTATCCACCTACTGGTGGTGAAGTCAGTGTGGGGGAAGTAACGTGTAAAGTAGGTGCTGTGGGCTCTGTAGGGTACTTCTAAATCCTCATAACGGTCTTCCAAAGCACTCTGTTCTCTGAAGCATTGCAGTCTTTAACATAGCTTTACAGCAATGATGAGAACCTTATTCACAGAAATAGTACAACATAGAGGCATTGAGTTGACTGCTGTTTATAAACTTACTATAGTGGTAAGCCTAAACTAAATATCCTAGTGCAGAGTAAGGAATTTAAGCTGTGAGCACAGACAAATCTGACTAAAAATCCAGTTGAGATGGAAGTTTTGTCGAATTCTAGAAATCTGGAAGCTGGAACTGGTTTGTACCTTCACTAGAGGGCAGCACTCAATCACTTCAATGCTTTGTGTGTCTGTATAATAATATGAATGTAATGATCAGTTTTACTTGTGATAGCCTCATGACTAGGGTTTTGGTTGTAGTTCTCAACAGAAGTCAGTCTTTTTTAATCCTTTCTGTACTTCCCTGATAGGTTTAAGTAGTACGATGTAATCCACAAGACCATTAAATCTCTTTTTCTTGCAATTCTAATGACTTTTTTAAAAGGGTAGGCTTCAAAAATAGGAAGCAATATTGTCTTTTATCAGTCTCACTTAAGTAGCTGTTTGCTTTAGTACCATTGGATCTACTCCTAGTGGCTCTGCCCCTCTTCTCCCAGTGTGTCTTCTCTGCTCTTTTCCTATAAAGAAATAATCCTGAATCTAGCAACTTAAAGCTATGGAGCAAGTCATTAACAGGGCTAGAACTTGCACTCAGAATTATGGGATTCCTGGCCCTGTTAACAAGTCCAGCAGTTTCTGATGCTTGTCTCCACTGAGACTTGTCATCCAGCTGATTTCTGGTTGAGGTAAGAGGCTGAGAATGGAGCTGAATGGAAAAGATTTTTTCGAATAATGCCAGGAAGGAGAATTTAAACACTTTTAACAAATTCTGTGATGAAAGCTGCAAATATTAATCTCTATAATGAGTTGAGGAAGGGGAACGCTGAAGAACAAGAAGTTTTAACCTTTGCACTCGGTGTCGTCTTGCTATTGCAAGAATTGTGATTGTGTCTTCTGCAAAGCATAATTTGCAACTCCATCCAAAAGGGAGCAGTGAAGATTTGCCTTTTGAGAGATGAAGGAATCCTCAAGGTGGTTGTGTTGCTGTTTGTGAGGAATTACGAGCAATGGCACTTCCAGGTGCTGGCCAGATTCCTCACAGGTGATGCTATTGCAAGAAGTTGATGTACTGATGTGTTGCAATGGGATGCAATTACCACACCTGAGCTGTTTGTGCCACAGTTCTCATCTCACTTTAAAAAATGCAGCCTACTCCATTTGTTATGTGTTAATAGTACTTGTGCTTCTGACCTATTTAAAGCATTGGTATTTAATTCCTTTTTTTCCTAGCATGGCTTTTTTTTTTCCTGACATTGCTCAGCTGAAGTTCTTTTAATGAATTATTTCTCTGCTTTTCCTCTTCTGCCATTCTCCTTAGCAAAACAACTTTTATTGATGTGACCCATTAAATATTTATCACTGTAGCCTTTCCCCTTCAGGCTGTGATCTTGTGCAATTTTGCAAGCTAGAGGCAATTAGTCTTGTGCTTAGAAAGGAAATCTCCAAGAAAGAAAGCCTCTCTGGATGGTAGTAACACTGGTTACTTGAAAATTGATCAGCTTTGCTATTAACTGTCTTGAAACTGCTGTTTGCCTCTGTTCTCAGGGCTGGGTTTGGGGTGGAGGCGGTTCAGCAAAATCTTAATGGACTGAAATTTCTTTTTCTTGTCTCATCCAATGCTCAGGAGCGCTGTGCTGAGCTCCTGTCAGTCTTGGCCTTGTGGAGCTGTTGTAGTCCCTACATGATTTTTCCAGTTGAATGGAAAACTCTTGATTTGCCTCCTATGTTTAAGTGATGTGTGGGATCTGATCTCATAGTGAAAGGATAACTTTACAGGTGGCGAGGGATCAGGTAATAGACAGGTTATAGTACAGTCAAGCAGAGCTTTAACATTTCATGTAGTTAAACTTCCCATGCAGAACTGTGTGGTTTTGGAGTGTGAGTTGTTGAAGTTTATGAAAGCCTCTCTTCAAATCTGGGGTTTTAGCCAATAAATACTCTTTCCCATTGTAAGATGGGATTATCAATTTGATTGCTTTTTCCAGGTGCTATGGCTTCTGACTGATCCTTCTCAAGGGTTGTAAAGTTGTCACTCTCCTAACGTTCCTCAAGGTATTTAAATAAAAAACACGATGGGCATGGACCAGTGAATGTGCAAATGGTCAGAAATGAACCCTGGGTTTTGCTTCAAACTCACTCTGTGTGATTAATGTAATAGCAGGTCATGCTTACTGTCAGTACAATGTGCGCTTTATCTCCAAGCGAAGGAGATCTGCCTTTCAGCATCCTGAGTCTAACAGGGATAAATTATGGGAAGCTCTATTGCCTGCCTGCATGGAGGCCCAGGAGGACACAGGATGGCATTTAGCAAGTGACACGAGGCTTGTCTCAAGGAAGGGGGGTGACTGCAGGGGTGTAATGACATTCTGAGTTAGAATGGGGAGTTTAAGCTTAGTTCTTGATTCCCTGTCACTCCCCTGAAGCTGCACATTAGCCCATCTCATTACAAGTTTTGCTTTGCTCTGTTTTTCACGTGCACCTGCAGTTCCTGATGGTAGTGTGTCATTCCTTCTCCAATCTGCTCTTTCTGCCCATACTTAAAGTGACTCTGCTGATGAATACGGTACATAGATTGTGTGCACAGTTCTGTGAGAACAGACACTTGGTGCTTCCAGCTGATGTGCAGCTTTGGGAGGTTTGGCAGAGGTGCACACCAAGGCTCAGGTTGGTGCAGGAATGTCAGACTTGTGCAGAAATCCGTCGGTTCCTGTGGTCCTTCTGGGAGTCAGTGAGGAGGCAATCCAGGAGAATGGGGGAGTAGATGTAATGAAGCTGGCTGGAGCCATCTAAAAATAATTACCTTAGTTATAAATGTACATAAATATCCTCTCTCCATGTCTGATAATGCTCAAACTGCTTTTGAACAGAATTTTTATTTGTCTGAGGTCCTAAACATTTTGAGACCATCTGTCTTTTCTCTGTATGTGAGAAATTAAGTAAAGCCTTTAAGTGCTATGCAGCAAACTTCCCCCTACATCTCTGAGGTTTTTTTACACAAGGTGAAGGAGATCAGCTGCCTGCTTTCTTGTCAAGAAAGCAAATTCCAGAGATGTTGGAGGTATAACTTGGCCCCATAATCAGGATAGCAACATGTTGCTGAGTGCTGGGCTGCTCACTAAGTCCCAAAGATGCTCTGTGCCAGAGATAGAGCATGATGATCTCTGTAGCCCACATGGATGCTCTGCAGGAAATACAAGTAATAAAATTAAGAAGTGTTCAGTAATACAATGAGAATTAAACTTACTGCTAAACTATTTGATTAATTGTTGCACGCTTGGAGGACCTCAGTAAACCAATGTCTCATGAGGACTTGGAGTGCTGCGGGGGCTGGACTCCCTCCTGGCTCCTCACCGTGAGTTGCTCCATCTCTTCTGAGCTTTGCCTTTCCCTCATCTCTCCTCTGATTTTCCACGGTTTCTGGCCACCTCAGAGGAACCCCGCAGAAGAAACTGAAGTAAATCTGCAGCTCAGCCAGTGCTCTTAATCTAAATATGAGGCACATAATTGCTGGTAGTGCTCATAACAGTTTTAAATCTGTGGAAAGTTAGCCAGTGTTTTTAATGGAGCTACTTTGCAGCTAGATGATGTTCCTGATGAGCGTGTCATGGCTTCATTAGGATTCTCCCCTCCTCGTTTTCCTGCATTTTGTCAGCAAACGATTGATTGCTCTCAAGGATGTGGCTGGAGCTCCTGATTCATGTCTGCACTGCACCCATGGCTGCGGTCCCTCAGCTGAGTGCCTGTGCTGCTTCCACCCAAAGTCCTCTGGAAAGGGGCAGGGAAGAAAACTTGCAGAAAAATGTGTGTGTGTGTATATATATATATATATATATATATATATATATATATATATATATATATTAAGGCAATGATTTTGTATGCTTATGTATGGAGGTGGTGAAAATGATGAGATTGATATACTCCAGACAGTAACTTATCCTTCATTAACTTTATTAGGCAAAATTGCTTCAGACTCCATAAATACCAAATGGCAGACTTTGCACACAGTGCCAGCACAGCATTTATGAGCACCATTAACAGCGGAGAGCATGGCTGTGTGTGTGTGAGGTCACACTGAGCAACTCCATGTATTTATTTGCTGAATTCCTGGGGGGGGCTTTTGAACGAATTCAAGGGTCTTCGCACTGTGTTATCATGTGTATGAAGACCTCTTCTGAAGTGTTTACCTGGTGAAATACCAGTTGGCTGTGCTGGGTGTTGCTGTGTAGATGGGGGCTCATGGGTTGTAGTGGAAATGCTGAGTCAGGGCCTGTAGCAGTGATGAAGAACCTGGTGGGAAGGCAGGGCCAACCCAAGGGAGCTCAGCTGCATGCAGTGAACCTGATTTCCTGGAAGGGATGGAGCCAGGATCCTCCCCAGCCTCATGTAAGGGCTGGCAGTGGAGGTGAGGGGAGATCCCTGTGTACCTGAGGCTTTCCTAGGGTAAGTAGATTCTTGCCTTTGTTTCTGTGTCCGTGTCTGCTGCTCTCCTGCTCCTGATAGCATTTATTGCAAAGCTAAATCTTTTTGTGATAAATTTGGCCTCTTTTTCCACATCTCAGATCACTTTCTGAGATCTCTATTTTTAATATAACTAGCACAGGTAGGATAAAGGCAGACAGCGAGTTGCTGCACCCTGGGTGACACTGACAGCCTTTGATCAGCT